TATCCTCCAGGTTTTAATACTCTCACCATTTCATCTACCACATATGGCCATTTTGATTCGGGATATGCCGTAAATAACAATCGATGATATATAAAATCAAATTCATTGTCATTAAATGGAAGCCCTTCTAATGCATTTGCCTGAACAAATGAAAGATTACGTGGTTTGATTTTTAAAGGTTGATGTGGTGTGATATCCATGCCTATAAATTTGGCATATTGGTAGGTTGATGACTAATACAATTAGAATTTTGGCTATACAAGAACTCTATTTAATTAGACCAATTTAACAAAATAGTATACCATTTCAAGTATCCAAGAACCTGCTCCACAGCTATGATAAGATTTGGAACACTTTATTATGTAAAACAAAATTATAATAAAAAAAAACTAGACAATTATAAAATTGCATACATACCCGATATCGAGAACTTTTGTGCTTGAATTTTTTAAAATGTGATCAACTGGTGAAGAGAAATTATTCTGCCATACATGTCTGTATTCATTAATAAATTAAAAAATTTCTTTCATTAAATTTTATAAAATAACGATCAATTATGAAACAAGTACTATAGCTACCTAAACAAGAAATGCTGAAGATGTAATCTATCGCATTCATCATCATCATTAGGCAATGGATATTGTACACCTTCGATATTATGAAATCTTCTGCCTTCGATAAACTTAAAAAATGCATTTTGGTCATTTGTATTAGTACCATTATCATCTTTATTGTTAACGTCATCTTTGTTGTTAACGTCATCTTTATTGTTAACATCATCTTTATTGTTAACATCATCTTTATTGTTAACGTCATCTTTGAATTTATTTATGAGTTTACTTGAGAAGTGACCCATAGTATATATTTTTTGGGGGGCAAAAACATCGTTATTGACCCGTTTTTATTGACCTACGTACAAAAAAAAAAATCGCTCCGTGTAACATAAACAGTTAAGGTACTGGTATTATAACATACTATGTTTTTTCCGCTTTTCTAAAAGTTGATAATTACATTAATTTAAATTTCCATAAAAAAGCAGAAATTAAATTTAAAAAGAGTACGTAGTACTGTACGATTGTTAATTTTAGTATCGTACGATATATCTGTTATGATATGTACAGTACATATGTTCGTACAAATTGATAATCAGCATGATCTTAAACGATAAAGCAATAAGTATAATTGATTGTGTAAATCTTAACTTTTTTAGCTTAGTTTCCCCGAAAACTATTTACCCGAAAGTCTATTTACCTGACATCATACGAGGTGAAAATTTACTAATAAAATATACCTATAGCAAACTAAATGCTAAATTGTCACCCAACGTGATATCAGGTAAATGGACTGTCGGGTAAATAGTTTTCGGGGAATTGAGCGACAACCCAGATACTATAGTTGTTAGGCGAAACTGTTTCACGTAAATGACGAAAGACGAAACCTAAACCCAGAAAAGACGAAAGGTGACGAAACCCTGACGAAAGACGAAACCCCTAACGAAAGGCGAAACCACTGGCGAAAGACGAAATTTCTAGCAAAATGCGAAACCTCCAGAGTAATAGAAACTTCGAAACTTTAATACAAGACGAGGCCCTAACAAGGATAAAAGGCTGAGCTACAGTTGGTGAACGAAACCTTTTGTTTTTATGATAATATATCCCATATGTTGTGCCTCAGATGCATTCTTGCATCGAATTACAATCCATACAGCAGGGTCCTCAAATTCATGGCCGGTTGGGCTGGAATTACTAGGTTATCTAAATTCCTGGTAAATTACCGCGGTTAAGATTAATTGAGCCAACTTTAAGATATAGTTTGACCAGCATTAATGCCAAGAGAAGTTCAGATGCGACTATGAATGAACATAAAAAACGAGCAAAGGCCGAGAAATTTTTAAGAGGAATCCGAAAGATTCTGATCAACCAATTGCAATATTTTCGCAGTAAGTTTTACCTGATATTTTTAGTATTTCCGGTAACAGTAATTTTCTAATCCTGATAATGAAATTATAGACCACTCACTAAGTAAAAAATGCATTGCTAAATAGTAGAATAATGTCTACCTGTAATTTTAGACAACCCTTGTATGATTCGTAAAAAATATTGATTGCTTATTGTTTTTGCTCAAAATATTAAATAATATCTAAATCGATATTTTTCATGGTCCCCAATCTGATGTGCGTAAGCTCTAATCTGAATACATCTAAGGCACAACATATATATTAATAAAAATAACTT